GTTTCATTTCTTCTTCCCCCTGTGGGTGCAAAGTATGTATAGTCTCACTTAGTCTTCATTTGCTTTTAAGATCCTTTTCAAATCCAACATCTTTTATACAGATTATTAAAATGGGCAAATAAACACAGATTAAAGGGACATCCATGGCACACAAGTTCACTTTCAATCAAGAGGTCATTTCAAGCACTCTGCCTCAATATTTCTTAGCATTACCATCAAAAACCATGTGAGCAGAAAAATACTAATATGTGAGAAGTTACAATTTAATTTACCTACGCTGACTGTATACCAAAAATAGAATTTCTATGAACTGTAACTTAAAAAAAGGAATTCTTAACTGGATTCTTAAAGTCATATTCAAATATTTCAACTTCAGCATCTAATATACTAAAGCTTTGCTCACAGGCATGCACAGGAAGTCCCATTTATGTTGATAAGAGTGAAATGTAAAAGCAAAGACTCTGGCCAATCAAGCATTATAAAAAAATTATAAATCAAAACCAATTTTTAAATTGCAGTAATAACTAACACCTCTCATCTCTTCATGAAGTTTGTTTTCATTCACTTTTTTGGTTTCTATGTCTTTTTGATAGATGTCAGCTGCTTCCTTATGTTGTTTGTTCATATTTTCCATCTCTAACTGCAATTTATTCACCTTTTGAGAATGCAGAATTGTTGCTGTCATTTGTTTGGGAATTAATATGCTAATTATTTCTTTTAACCTCTTGTTTTTGACCAGAAACACTCTATTACTTTTTAGTCTATGATCAGACTGTTTTCAATTTAAAGTTCAGCTTTTTCTAATAAAGAATTGAACTTTGGCCTGAAGTGAGTTAGAAAATACTCAAAGAAACAATGACAACAGCAGCAGTGGGGAAGACAGCCCTAAGTTATCACCCCAAATGCTGTGAATTCCTTGGAAATAACAACTACAGGTGGAGATTTTATTCTCTCTCTTGTAAATATATCTAAGATTTTTACAGGTTTTATGATACATTTTTCTCCCAGTTGTGCATTTTAATTACAGTTTTCCGTTTTCCTTTCATATACCAATTCAAGATGTATTTAATAAGCATTATCATTACTTACACTGGTACTTAAAACACTCACCTCATCTTCTACATGATGTTATTTGAACCTACCTTCCCTTCATAAACACTACTTTTTTGATTTCTGCAGTATTTTTCTTTTTCAGCATCTTATTCTGTTGAAGTAAAAGAAAACAAGCACTGTGCTTTAACAAGTTAATAGAATTATGTAAGGGTTCAACTGAGTCAAGGATGTCAGAATCTGCAAAATTCCAGCTTTCCTCAAGCAAATAACTCTCTGTTGTGCAGTTTGGGTTCCAGAACAATTCTCCAAACAAAGGAATACTCTGCTAATTCCTGGGATAATGCTGTTTGCTCATGACCTTAGGAAAGGCTACTCCAGAGTAACAGCAGGGAAGAACAAATGAGGTGCAGAATGGGAATTCAAAGTAAGATGCTGCTGACAGGTGTGAAGATGTCATGACAAAGAGAACAAGTTATACATTCTTACAGTGAAGTTACCACAATTCGTGCTAGTGCAGAATTCTTTTCTACTAGTGGTAACTGAGGGAGCTCCTTATTACAAGTACAGAAATAATACTATGTACTGCATGACAAAAAGTAGTATTACAAAAAGTAGACGTTAATTGAAGACATTATTTTTGTAACTGCTTTTTTCAAATTAAAGATTATTTAACAAATCAAGTCATTCCAAAGATGACTTCTTAATTTGCTCAGAGTTAGGATAAGGAAAGAAAAATTTTAAATTACGTGGGAGTCTCTAAAAATAACACAGCAGACAAAAACTGTTGAAAAGTAAGTCGCCCCAAAATACCATGTGTTTTATGCATGACTTGTAAAATCTGTACACTCCTGCTGCCACTCTTCAATGCATCTGGTTTTATTTTCCACCTGTTTCTTTAAATCATTCATCTGAAAGAGATACTTCAAATATTAATAAGTCCTAAAAATGACTCCCTGTGTTAGCGACTCCTGTCAACGTTCTCCAATGTGCATTTGCACCAGACTGGTTTATGCCATCAGGACTAAACACAAGCTGACATGTTGCAATGATGGAAATTTTAGCCATAAAGTACTACAACATATTCATTAATAGCAGTGAACAAGTTCTTTAGTGATCGTAGACTTAAGAAAGAAGAAGCAAAAACTCCCAGTGTCTTCACAATTTAAAAAATAACCTTGTATCCAGTTTCATACAACCCATTAAAAATGAATTTTCCCAGTTATTTTCTAGAATCTTCAACTGCTTTTCCTTTTGTGAAATTTCATTTTCAAAACTCTTAACCTGGAATTGTAAATCTTTGACTTTTTCAATGAAATTTTGAAATCCATTCTAATGCTAAATATCCCAGGTTGCTTTGAAAGTATAAAAAAGAAAGTAAAAATATTTGAAGTTATGTAAGCCAAAAGTCACATTATATGTAAAAAGCTAATCCAGAGCCCATCCATTCCTCAGTGGGTATATGAAAGAAAAGCAGGTTCTCTGTTTGCTTGAAATCAAACAGATCTTTCCTATTAAACTTCCAAGCAAAGAGTAAACACCCCAATGATTGTCCTTGTCTTTTACAATAACAGGGCTCAGCAGTGGATGCACTACGACACAACGGCAGCAGCCCTGAAAGAAGAAAGCCTCTGACAGAGATCACATCCCCAGGCAGAGCTTTGTAGAAAAACTCCCAACAAAAATTTTACATTCAGATTCTGCCCAATGGGTTATGGAACATGTTTTCATGACAAAGCACATGACACGACGTATGTTTTCTTCTCTTTCATGCAGTTTATTTTCAGTCTCTTCACCTGCCTTTGCCATTTTCTCCTTCAAAGACTCCAGTTCATTTCTAAGGGCCAAATTAACAAGCATTAGTTAAATATTTACTTCTTGCCTTTAACTTCTTGTCAGTACTGCTAATAAACCCGTATTTTATTTTCAAAAAAAAGAGCTGCTAATGTTGATGGGAACTTCATAAGATGCTCAATCAAAATGTTCTTGAAATGAAGCCACATGCCTGGCAAGTCAATATGTGAACTGTCTATAACTTTTTTAAGTAGGAAAAGATGTTCCACCTAACCTAAGGAAAATAAATCTTAACCTGGACTATTGTAATGCAGCTGTGAAACATGGGAGGTTGCCTGACTATTGAACTGATGGTACAGAGACTTCTGCAGAGAGTAACACTGAACCAGTTTTGCCTTTGCACATTTAATCCATAACCTTGAACTTCTCGTTTCATTTCCTTCACACCTTAAATGTCTGATGCACAACAGGGCAGCTCTTTCTATGTAATACAAAATGATGGCAAAAATCGTTTCTGTAGCAATAGGTATTTCTAACCTGAGAAAATTTCTACCTGTCCAACAGCAATACTGAATAGTTTCTCTTTAGCTATAAAATCTAGAAAAATTTTAATCAAAAAAATTACATAAAGTAGTATATGAACACAACTATTTGAGTCTTTTTCCTTTAATAATATTGGATACTAATATTTGTTTTTACTTGCTTTAGCTGGCCATTTGCATTTTCTAGTTTTTCAACTATCTGCTTTGTATTTTCTTCTTTTTTCTTACTATCCTAAATAAAGACCTCTGTCAGCAAAGAAATAATATTCCAAGTGGTTTCTTAAAAAATTCAAAGGCACCCAAAGCACACTGACCTGCCTTATTCAAAAGTGTAACTACATTTCCTTTCCAACTGAAAACCATCAAATAATTTAAATACTCTACAGAATCATCTCATGTTGCAGTTTATCATCTGATTTGTAGTTTAAATTGAGTATTGCCCTTTATAAGCAACTGGAAGTTTACAACTTGCCTCTTGTCTTCCTTGCAGTTTCTTGAGTTCTGCAGCCACAGCATTTTTCTCTTGTATGAGAAATATAATAAGCTCTAGTATGAGCTTATTCACATGCGCTGGTAGTTGTTCATTCTTTAACCTAATTTAAAACAAATGACCAAGAGGAATAAGCAACATGTATTTTGAAATCTCCTTTTAAGTTAAATATACCTATTATCAAGTGTTATTCAACGCTGAAATAAGACCAGGCATTTATCTACAAATATAAGCTTTGCAGCAAAATCACAGTGATACAAAAAAGAGACAGAAGAAGGAAAGACAACCAGAGTAAGTTTTTATATAAATATAATGGTTACTGAGGATGATGTAGTTCAAAGCAGGGTTAACAATGAATTCAGAAAATTTCTCGTTAACAAAGTCAGGGAGATAAGGAACAACTACATGATCCATAGAATACATACAAATAGAGAAAGTGTAATTTACAAATATATCTATATAATTAATGTCACACTGTGTGATTCAAAATTTTTATTAGAAAACAATCATAGTTTGTTTCACTGTGTATTAAAGTAACTTCTATTTAGCACCAAAAGAAAATAAAATACTGTATTTTCAAAATGGTCATACGCCTCTTGTTCAAGATCTGTTTTCAGAGCCAAAAGCTGTTTAAATAATCTTGTTCCTT